ATTTCCTGTAGTTGTCAGAAGAGGGTTGAGACCTGCATTTCTAAGCTGTGAAGTTTTGGTCTTTGGGTTTTATAAGGTATTATTTTTATTTTTTGATTTAGCAAGTGAATTTATTTTGTGAGATTGGCTTTCCACTGAAACTATGGTACAATAATATTGGAGTTAATACCACATATCAAGGAATGCCTTATACTTCAACACCATTTCTAATATGTTCAATCCTCGTCGTCATAAGTCTGAAGTCATAAATCATTATTTTCATCCCCTTTTTATAGAGTCAAAACACCAGGTAACTTGTTCCAGGTTTGACTGAGGTGCTCTTGGCTGTAGAGCCAGTCTGTGGTGCTATACTGCCTCTCCTAGATATTTGAGGATATTATGCTGTATTTTGTGGATGACTACAAATTCTGGTCATTTCTGGCATTTCAATTCTAGATATTATAGACCAGACTATGGACCATACATAATCTGATCTGAGTGGATATGGAGTCCCTTCCTGACTCAAGCCTTGGGCACTGCCCACAGTTCACCAGAGCAGCCTTAGGAACCGCAGATAATTTTATGAGGCCATAGAGGAAAAACAGAGATTTGAGAAGGGGTGGCAGGAAAACAGATATGCCACAGAGAGATAAACTCAGTCTTTAAGCTCTCCCAAAAACTGTCAAGAGTTTTCTGAGAATAAAACAGTCCCAGGGATGAAGGTTTTGATTTATGAGCTCAACCTAAGAGCGCGTGAGGAACAGAGGAAGGGATATATTGTGACTTTCAGGTGAGAACACCTTGTGGTTAGGGAGGAAATGATGGAGAGTCTATGGTCATGGAGAATTTGAAAGGCCGCATTAATTGGCACCTAAAGCATAAATATGCAAACTGTTAAGATGTTTAAGGAGTTCTAATTATACGGAACTTCACCTTTCTAGGGTTAACCAGCAGATTATGACAAGCGATTTGTTTTGGGGTAGTGACGTCTTCGGCTGAGCTCTCACCTGAGCTCGGAGGAGACAGCAGCTCTGAGTCCGCGGGGAGGGCACCAGGCAGGGCCTCGCTGGAGAGCAGACCCTCGCGGTGTCTGGCAGGGGGCCGCCCTCTTGTAGGCGGGGAGTGGGAAGAGGCCCAGGCATCTGGTCACCACTCTGTCAGGACTGCTGACACAGGCTCCCTCTGCCTTTAATTTTACCTGAAGTCTCTTTTTGGGGAAGAGAAGTTTGTCTTTGTCTTTGAGGATGATTTCCACATGGCCTCTGTAAAACGTCTTGTTAAAAATGGACTAGAGGGGTGTTTTTGTTGAGTTATAGTCTTAATATTTTTTAAAGCAGACTGTAGATATCAGAGCGGCTGCCTTTTATCATCTCCCCAGAGTATCAGTAAAGACCAGGACCAGTATTGCAAAAACTTGGCAGGTTTGGAAAATGTGGGAGTTGCCTGTATCTGTAGATTTACAGATTAACAAAACAACACTTAACAATTGAGATAAACTCAGAATGTAACCAACTCTGCTGACCAGCTTGAAGAAAGGAGTGAAACCGGCTATCCTAAGATTAAATGGGAGGGGCCACCTAGTCAATAACTCAGCAAGTTCCTCTTTTGTCACACACGAGTGAACAAAGATCTTTCTCTGAGCCTGTGTCCTACTGGGAAGTTACAAAGTTAACCTACTTTGAAAGCAGCAAGCTGCAATCCTCTTTAAAGGAAAATAAGTTCTTGCAGAATTCAAGGATTGAGTGCAATTAATTTACTGTTACATAAACATACTAAAACATAAATTTAGGTAAGAACTCTTTAGGGATATAGCTTCTATAAAACCAAAAGCTTACAAATTTATTACAAATTAAATAGGAATAAATCACAAAGTTATTGTCAGGTTTACATTTTACTGCCATCAACTGGTTCTCTAGAATGTACCACACTCATTCTCCCTTGAGGATTGAGTTATGTAATCCTCTTTGCAGTTGTTTCATTTTATTGAAATTTCTTGGAACTCTTCACTTATTTGTTCACTTACCACAAACACATTAGATTGCTTGTTTTCATGTATCTTATTTTCTCTATAGCTTGTGGCAGCTGAAGTATGATGCTGAAATTATATGTCAGGATTTGGGTATAAGATAATCATCAGAATGATCCTAAATATATAATCAAAACTACAACTATAAATTACATATGTGAAGCTTCCAAAGAGCCCTGATAATGCATGTCCTCAGACCTTGTCTTGATGAATGCTTGCATAGATACCAACCAACGTACCAACCATAGATACTCCTACATACCAACACCCACTCCTGTTCTGAAATTCATTCTCTGTACTGAAGTCCACCCTCTTTACCCAACTGATTTCTTACTGCACATAATTTTGCCTTTTATGTTTTAAGTAAATGCTGATTTACTAAAATGCTTCTATCACAGTAGAGTTGGTGATATCTCCAGGACTTTATTTCTGATGAACTCTCTGGAATGCTTTTCTCACGTTTATGAAGCTGGTTCATAGATAAACAATTTTTATTTATCCTTCAAGTATCGGGTTAGGTATTATTCTCTCCTTTGAACTTTCCCTGATTAGGCCATATTTGTTTCTTCTCCACATATATTTTTGTCCCATAGTTTTAACACTATTTTTTTTAATAGCAGTTTTACATTCACAGAAAAATTGAGAAGTACAGAGGTTTCCTACATATCCTCTGATCCCCCAACATGCACAGCATCCCCCATTGTCAATGTCCCCCACAGAGTGGAACATTTGTTAGAATTGATGACCCACATGGACACATCATAATCACCAAAGGTTTATATTAGGGTTCAGTCTTGGGGCTTTATATTCTATGAGTTTGGACAAATGTATAATGTCATGTATCCACTTACAGTAAACAGAGTATTTTAACCACCCTAAACAATTTCTCTATGCTCTGCCTATCCCTCCCCACCCCCCGCTCCCTCATTCTGTCTCCATTCTTTTTGCCTTTTCCAGGATGCCACATTCTTAGAAGCATACAGTCCGTAGTCATTCAGACTGGCTTCCTTCACTTAGTGAGATGCATTTAAATTTCCTCCATGATTTTTTTCTTGACTTAACAGCTCATTTCTTTTTAGCACTGAACAATATTCCACTGTCTGCATGGTCCATAATTTGCTTACCTATTCACCCTGAGCACATCTTGGTTGCTTCCATGTTTCAGCAATTCTGAATAAAGCTGCTGTAAATATCTGTGTGCAGGATTTTGTGTGGACACAAGTTTTCATCTCCTTTGGAGCATGATTGCTGGATCACATGGTAAGAGTATGTTATCTTTGTAAGAAATTGCCAAACTACCCTCTAATGTGGCTGCACCATTTTGCATTTCCACCTGCAATGAATGAAAGTTCCTGTCGCTTCACCTCTTCACCACCATTGGGATTGTAAATGTCCTGGATTTTGGCCATTCTAGTAGGTGATATCTCATTGCTGGCTTGATTTCCCTGATGACATATGTTGAAGATGTGAGCATGATTTCATATGCTTATTTGACATAAGCATATCTTCTTTGGTGAGGTGTCTATTAAGGTCTTTGGCCCACTTTTTAATTAGATTGTTTCTTTTCTTACTATTTAATTTTAAGAACTCTTTGCATATTTTGGAAAGAGTCCTTTATCAAATGTATCTTTTGCAAATATTTTCTCCCAATCTGTGGCTTGTTTTCTCATTCTCTTGACATTGTCTTTCATAGAGCAGAGGTTCATTTTAATGAAGTTGAGCTTATTGATTATTTCTTTCAGGGATTGTGCTTTTGGGGTTGTATCTAAAATGTTCTCGTGATACCCAAAGTCATCTGGGTCTTCTCCTGTTATCCTCTAGAGTTTTATAGTTTGTGTTTTACATTTAGGTCTGTGATCCATTTTGAGTTAATTTTTGAGAAGTGTGTAAAGTGTATGTCTAGATTATTTCTTTCTCTCATGTGGGTATCCAGTTGTTCCACACCATTTGTTGAAGAGATGATCTTTTCTCCTTTGTATTGCCTTTGTTCCTTTGTCAAAGATCAGTTGTCTATCTGTGTGGATCTATTTCTGAGCTCTCGATTCTATCCCATTGGTCTATTCTTTCACCAATATCATACCGTCTTGTTTACTGTTGCTTTATAGTAAGTTTTGAAGGCCAGAAGTCTTCAACCTTATTCTTCAATATGTATTGCCTATCTGGTTCTTTTTGTTCTCCACATAAACTTCAGAATCAACTTGTTGATATCCATAAAACAACTTGCTGGGATTTTTCTTGGGATTGCCCTGACCCCATAGATCAAGTTGGGAAGAACTGCCATCTTGACAATACTGACTCTTCCTATGCATGACCTGAAATATCTCTCCATTTATTTAGTGCTTTGATTTCATTCATCACAGTTTTGCAACTTTCCTCAATAGATCTTGGCTTATTTTCTTAGATGAATACCTAAGCATTTCATTTTGGGGGTGCTTATGTAAATCGTATTGTGTTTTCAATTTTAAATTCCTCTTGTTCATCGCATGTACATAGACAAGTGACTGACTGTTGTATATTAACAATGTGTTGTAAATTCCAGTTCTGATCATTACAAAATCCCTGGCATGTCTGGTTCTGGTGCTTGCTCTGTCTCTTCAAACTGTTTTTTGCCTTTTAGTGTGGCTCGTAATGCTTCCCCGATAGCAGACATGATGTACTGGCTAAAAGGAACTGCTCGGAAGAAGCTTTTAATGATGTGCTGGTGGGGTGTGGGGGAGGGGAGGTGTTCTATAGTTTAGTGATTGATTAGTTCTCAGTCCTTCTATGAGTCTATTCCTCTGGACTGTGATGTTCACAGGTGTTTTTATATATCTTTTTCTCCCTTAGGTGGGAGAGGATGGCCAGCAAGGGGTGGAGTTGAGTATTTCCCTTCTCCCACTTGGAAGGTAGAGCCAGCTGGAATTGGGTGTTTCTGTTCCCTCAAGTCCTTTAGCTTTGATCAGACTCCAGCTGACTGGGCTCTGGTTAATGAGAGATTTCCCTGTAGGCAGGCTTTGTGAAGAAGGACTAGCATTCTGGGGTATTTCAAAATGGTTCCTTTTCCCACTCCCTGCAGTTAGCAGGGAGAATTTTTCTCAGATACTGACAGTGTGAACCTGGTCTAACTCCTTCAGGTAAATCTCACAAAACTGTGGGAGTCTGCTCCACCTGGGTCTCCTCGGAGTGTCTAAATTCACAGCGTTGTCCACACTGAGCCTCCTGCAATTCATCAATTACAGGTTTGATTTTCCTACCGGGGAGCTGGTTCCTGTGGTGGCTTCTGCTTGCTGGTCTCTGCTTGGGTGAGTTTTACTCTTTATTTGCCTGTGTTCTCTCCAGTCTTGGGCACAGCAGTTTGCCCTGTGTCCTTAATTGTCATAGAGATCCTAGAAGAGTTGTGGATTTTTCCATCTGTTAGCTTTTTACTTGTTAGGACTGAGGGGCAGCTTCCAAGCTCCTTACATGCAGTAGTAGAAACTGGGAGTCCCCCTTTATTAAATTTTAAAGTATTTTTGTTGCTCTGGTTAAAGTGAGTTTGTTTCTCAGTAACCCATGACCTTTCTCTAGCAACTGTTCAAATAGTTGACATCCTTTGATATTTTCCCTGTGTAAAAATCCCCCGGAGGATAGCCATTTGCAACTAAAACTATCTTGGAGAGTCCCTGGAAAAGTTACAAAGAATTTGTTCTTTCCCCTTGTAGGAAGACAGTTGTTATAAATAACTAGGTTTATGTGATACTGTAGTGTTAGTGACTTGCATGGGAAATGTCATGTCAAAAGAGATGCTAACATTCTTTAGTTTAAGTTCGTATCTGTAAAATATTAATATGACTATTTCAGAAATTGTAGGCTGTAAGGAGAGATCTAGAGAATTGGCAAAGCTCTCATTTATGTTTCTATTTGTCAGGACCCTAGTGCCACTTTGCTTGAAATAAGATAATAATATAATGGCAGTAGTTAAAAATTCAGTTATTTTTTAAAGTATTAACTTGGTTACAACTTTTCTTCTTTAATTGAACCTAGCACCTTCTAGGCCAATGGTTTTCAGTTGGGGGTTAAAACGAAATGAAGAGGTGTGAACTCAACAGTCCAAGCAGGTTTATTGATAAACATGAGGGGGATCTCTGTCCTGGTGGGCAGAACAAAGAAGGCATCTTACAGGCTAAGAGGCTTTTTATGGCCAGGTTTTTTGGTGGGCTTTAAAGGGCATGGGTCAGGGAAAAGGTGGGCTTGTGGCTTGCTGACGTGTCCTCTGGAGAATGCTTGTAGCTTAAGTAAGATGAAACCTAGGTCTCTCTGAGATGGCAGGTGGGCTTATTCAAAAAGGCGGTACTCCTGTCTGGGCTCTATCATTCTTGGCTCTAAAGGGGTATAGGAAGACAGGTTGCATTCTTTTCTTGGCTACTTCCTGCTGAGAGGGGGCGATGAAGGGGGTTTTCTGATATTTTGAGGCAGGAAGGCCGTTGGGAGGTGTTCTTGAGTAGTTGTTCAGGAGATAGCCACCATTCAATCCTGTAAAAATCTCTGGAATGAGTGAATTAAGCAGGGAAGGAAAAAAAGGAGGTGGGTGATAAAGGTGAATGGGGCCCAGAGAGGTAGAAGGTAACTGAGGGTTGTAGAAGCTGAGAGTGTAAGACTTGGACTTGGCTGGGAGGGAAGGGTTAGAGCCTGGTGGCTGAAAAGGTCCGAGAGCTTATGTGAGGAGTGTGCCTGTGGGGGCTGGTGGAGGGCAATATTCTGGGCTTCAGGGATAAGGAGTGCAGCTGACACCAGGACCTGCAAGCAGAGAGGCCAGCTTGGTCACTAGGTTGAGTTGTTTGGGCTGACAGGCAACAGTCTAGAGGGAGTCCCCGGCTGGCTGTCCGAGGTAGTCCTAATGCTTGTCCCTCTTTGCCATGGAGCTGCTGGTGTCATCATGGAGGGGGCCTCGGGATCCGGATCACGTCAATCGGTCACTGAAGACAAGGCTGTGAAGGCTGCCAGGGTCTCTCTAGGGGTGTCTGGCCACCGAGAGGGGAGAGAACCTGTCAACAGAGGAGGGGAGAGGAGGGAAAAGGTGCAAAGTTGTCAGGGTGGGGGCAGGGGACTTTTCAACAAGGAGAACTTTAGAGGGTTTTTGTTTGGCAGGAGGAGATGTGGGTGGTTTTTGGTCAGTGAGAAGGATTTGAAGAGAGGAGAGGGAGGGTTGCTCGTGGAGGGTGGAGAAGGCTTGGACCTAGGGAACCTCTGACCATTTGCCAGGCCTCTGGAGGGACTCATCAAGATCTGGGACCATTTGGAAATCGAAAGTGCCCTCCACTGGCCAGCATGACCCGTTATGGAGTTTGTACTGGGGTCAAATAGAAGAGGAGTGAAATATTACGTAGGATACAGTTGAGGGGGGTGTCTCTCGATGTTTTTGAGGGAGAATGACCCATCATGGGAGGGCGAGAAAGGGGGCTGAGGTTTGGAAACAGGCAGCTGGGACACCTCCCTGTGATGGACTTCCCAGCTGGAGTCTGTGGACTCCTGGGGCCAGGTGAAAGGGTCCTGCATGCAGAAAGGAAGTGCCCTCCAATCAGAGTGCACAAGATCTCCTTCTGCTGAGGTGTTCTCAAATGGAGAACAGAGGCAGGGAAAGGATAAAAGGGAAAGCAGAAAAGGGAAAAACGGGGACAGCAGATCGACTGTCCCTGGGCTCCAAGAGAAAGCCACTGAGGCCAGAATCTTAGCCTCCTGGGATTGGCGATGGATTAGTGCCCGGTGGTGGATGCATAGATTGAGGTCTGGCAAGATGGTCCCTAGACTGGAGTTCATGAGCGGAGTGTTGGGTGAGGGAAGGAAGGGAATCAGGGTGAGACCCAGGAGGCCCTCGGGATCTAGGAGTCAGCGCGGGATGAGCCACCGCTGCCCACTGCCTCCCAGGTTGCAAAAGAGCTCCTGCTCTCGACTCCTGCTTCCAGGTTCAGCACCAGATAAAAGAAAAAAGGGATGCAGACTCAAGAGTCCAAGCAGGTTTATTGCTAAACCTGAGAGGGACCTCTGTGTTCTGGCGAGCAGAACAAAAAAGGCATCTCTTACAGGCTAAGAGGCTTTTTATGGCCAGGTTTTTGGGTGGGCTTTAAAGGGAAAAGGTGTGTGGCTTGCTGACGTGTCCTCTGGAGAATGCTTGTAGCTTAAGTAAAATGAAATCTAGGTCTCTCTGGGATGGTGGGTGGGCTTATTCAAAAAGGCGGTAGTCCTGTCCCCGGGCTCTATCACACAGCAGTTACCCATGAAGTTTTATACATATATTTAAGACCTAATGAAGACTTACAGAATCTCTTTGCTTGATTATCTTGACACAATTAATGGTGTATTCTAGGGATAAGCTTGATATACTAATGGCATATTATCTCAGGCTATTATATCTAAAGATTTTCTCTTCTGTAAAAGTTATATTCACCCATTTCTATAAATTGGATAAATTCTATAAGCAATATACTCTTCTTAGGAAATAGGAGGACAAACATTTCTTGGGTTGACTTTGTTTTACACATTTTAGAAATAACCAATACTCCCTGTCTATCTTATTACTCTTTAATGTACTTGCATCAGATCTTTCACTTTTGAAAATTATCAGCAAAAGATAATCACAGTCATTATAAGACATTTATTATCCAAAGGTAGTTTTGTTTTATTCTGATGTTTTGCTGAAAGCTCTTGCAATCATCCACTGACCAGAATGCTTCATCTTTAAAGGACTGTCTCAGAACCTTGTAAAAACAGACTTTATCAGGTACTTTGAAGAATACTTTATGATGGCATAATTTAAACAACTATGAGACCAGTCCTGTGGACTGAGTCAGGATTTATAGACCTCTAGATGAGAAGCAGATGGTTTCATAAAACTACTAATCCAAGATCAGGGGAGGAAGAATTCCTTACAGAGCGTTGAATGAAATGATGATGGATGATTGTAGTTTTTGTTTGAAATAGTGTTGATGTCTTATGTTATATTTTCTGAGTATTGGGAACCCTTCTAAGCTCTCTATAACTCATAATAATTTTATAGACTCTATCTCTGTAAAATAAAATGAAGCATTTGTAAACAACACCAAAATCTTCCTACTTGTCCACTTGAAAACTTAGAACCTCTTGTTTAGTATTCTTAATTAAATGTAAATGTAATCATTTGCATAATTCTATAAGAATCTGTACTCCTTTGTTATCAAGGTGTAATTTGAAAAATTGTATATGCAACCAAGGCTTTCTTGGGGATGCTATATTTGAGTTTGAGGTTTATTTAATCCAATGTAACCAGACAACAAAAGTTGACTTAATGGAGCTAATGCTCACAAAGCACTCTTGAGAAAAGTGGATCAGTATCTGCTTTACAGGATTCCTAGCTTCACAGGTAAGTAAGACAGTCACTTCTTAGTAGTTTTGTTTTTATTTCACATAAGGGAGACCTTTCCATTTATAGCCCATGGGGGGTTGCCTCTAGTTGTTTTTATCATGAGTTTCTCTTTGAAAATTTCATGACTATTGCATCTAATACTCTGTTTGGAACTGAGAAAGAAGAGTTCGGTGTGTGCTCACCATGCCTTCTTGACCTGGAGGCCTATTCTCCCAGATTCTCTAGACCCAGAAGGCCAGCCTGCTAATAGACCACATTACCCCTTCTTTGCATGATACAGAACTTAGATTTGGGGTTTTGTACAAAATGAGCAGAATATCAGAAGACTCTTAGACATTAAGAAGTGACTGGTGGTTTCCATTGGGGAGAGCTTGGGTGGGTGGGGAGGTTGAGGAAGATAAAGGGACACAAAAATTCTCAATCATAATATAAATGGTCATGGGTTAGTAGTACAACATGGAAAATAGAGCCAATGATTCTGGAACATCTTTCTATCTTGACAGACAGTAACTACACTAGTGGGGGTGAGGATTTAATAATATGGGGAACCGTTGAAGCAACATGTCATATACTTGAAATCAATATAAGATTATACATCAATAATACTTCAATAAAAAAGTAAATGTTACTTGATTAAAAAAGAGTTGGGATTTTGTGACTGTTCAGTAGTGGCTTTATATTTTCTCACAAGCAGAAAAAACTCTCTTGGAATATTTTCACTGTTGCAATATCAATATTTGCATTATAATTCATGGTTTGCCTGTTTTACTTCTCAAAACTTCCATAGTCCCTCTGTCATGCCAGTTATAAGAAAACCAGTTTAAACCTCAATTTTAAGAATTCATTCTCAGTTAAAGACCACGAATGTTTACTGCAAAGGGGTCAGACTATACAGAATATGTTTCCAAAAGTTATTAGGGGGAA